TATGGGCATATGCCAGTTCCTTTTCCCGTCTAACTGCTGTGTTGATGAGGGACAAAAATAACCTTGAAGCTTCTGTAGTCAAATCACAGCAGCTCTTTTCCTCACCTCTAATCCATATGGTGCATAACATACTGTAGCAAGCCCCGTCGTCACATCTAGTTTAGTGCTTAACTGCTGCAAAATGAAGAGGCAGACTCAGGGGCTGGGTGGGGGATGGGGTACAAAATGATCCACAGTAGCCAAGGGAAAAAATTATCATTAATAATAAGATGGAATATTGGGTTTATAAAAAGTTCCATACTTTAAAAATATTTTGACCCTTGAGGCTTCCAGTCTTTGGGCTTTTTCTAGGAAACGTACAGGATAAATAACACAACCAGACTGTGCATGCGTGACGTTGCACTATGTTAGCTTTGAACTTATATTGTGTTTTGCAGACGTCCATTCATTCAATGGGGCTGTGAACCAAGAAGGTCAGGAACCACCGGGTTGCATAATGCACCTAAGACTCTGTCCACATCGCTGTATCCATCCAAGATGGGGGCCGACTCGCACACACACAAACACACACATTTTACCTAGGTACAGGGCAGAGATGCACTACAGTCCATCAAAATGGAGGACAGGGAAGTCTGCTAAATGTGACTGGATTCTGTTATGTAATCCTCTAGCCCAGTGACAAATCTCTAGACAACAGCACCAGACACATTTGACCCCACTCACAAAACTCGCTCTTACCACAAAATTTACCATTTACCACATTTTTCCCCTTCCCTGAGATATAGTTTTCCTGGCTGGCTGTCTCATTAACCCCCTGACTTCTCTTCTTAACTGATTTATCTGTCCATCTCCACTTCTTTCCTGTCATTTTCCCCTCAGCCACCCACTCTTCTTTGCTGTCTGCCTTAACCTCTCTTCCATTTCACCACCAATATAATCCCGTTATGTCCCTTTCCTCTTTCTATCCACATCTCTTCCCTTCTCCATCTCATCACATTCATCTTCTGCTACATGCCACCCTGTGCTGTATATTTTCTCCTGACCCCTCTCATTTCTGTACTGTATGTGTCAAACCTCTTTTCCCCCCTCCTCTATTTTTCCAACCACGCCCCCACAGACCTTACCAGGTATGAGCTACAGTGAAGCGTCGCCTCTGTCGGATGCTCTTGTTGACCATCAATTTGCGAAAGAGGCGTGGGGAGCTTCGGGGCGACAGTTTGGGAGATGTGGCGCCCCTCTTCCCTCCCACCACACCTGGCATCTTTGGGGGCTCCAGCTCCAGGTGCATGTGCTCCTTGAATGTTCGGATGCAGGAGTCCATCTCAACACTCAGCTCCTTGGATGACATCCCTGCAGGCTGGGTACAGTCGTGTATGGCAGACTTTGGCTCCTCTGTCAAATTCTGCCACTAAAGTCAGTCCTGCCAACCAGTCATGTACAGCAGATTTTCTCCTCCTCTGGTCTTATTGAGACACAAAGCTGTTTAAAGCTGGATAAAATCTTGTGAAGACTGAAGCTACCTCACATGCAAACATTTACCTTTTTCCTTGTTTGCTTCTGTATCCTTCCCCTTTCTCCCTGTCCTTCAGGAGTATAGGGATGAACCAGCCAGCAGTTGTGCCCTCTACCTCACGCTTTCTTTTGGCTCATGCAGAGTGCTTTCCTGCTTGTCTTCTGTTTATCAGAGACTCTCAGAGGAGCTTTTCCCTCAGGTAAAGGAGAGAAGAATTCCTCTTCTCAACATTCCTCGGCTTTCCTGGCCTTGCTGCCTGTTAAGTGCACAGCCCACTTCCAGATTACTCTCCCTGTGTCCCTCTGTTACTGGTGATGCTTACTGAGTGCACAGCTCAGTGCCAGCTCTTTCTCTCAGTCTATCCAGGCAGCTTGATGTTGGAGGATCCCTTGATGAAAGACGCAGAAGGGATGAGAACTGCTCTCTGATTCCTCCTGTCTTGCTCTCCCCTCCATCAACCACTGCTTGACTGACCTCCTCTCTGCAAACAACCTCCACCTCTCCCAAAGGCACTCTCAGGGTGGCCTAGGGTGAATCCCAATATGCCGAGCCTCAAGTCAAATTTGCTTTCACTCACAGTCAGAGCAGTGAGCGGAGCAAACGCACAGCACGCAGGCAAATGCTTCACTTGCTCTTTCATTCAGAATATACACAAGGAGTTCAGAACAGACACGCAGTGAACGAAAGCCACACCCCATTGTCAAGGATTGGCTGGTGGAATGTGTGACGACAAGCAGGCAGGCACAGTAACAGGTTGTCAGATTTATTATTTATTTAGCCAGGATTTGTGGTAATGTTGCTGATAATGTTGTGACTTTGTGTGAGGCAGGCACCTGGTGCGTGAGGTGAGGGAAAAAAGGCAATTTGCAAAGAAGATAAAAGCAAACAGCTTCATGTCAGCATCAGTGAGAAAAATGATTCACAGCTCAAGGGTGAACCCATTCAAATAAACTTGCATTTATGCCAGTACATGAAAGCCTTTTTCAAGTAAGAAGGTGACTGCTGTACATATTAAGTTGCTACACACAGTATATTCCATCACAATCTTACACACATTTTCTCTCTCTGTCTCTATGGAAGCAATCCAACCATGAGATTGGCACAGAATGTAGAGAGAAAGGAAGAAAGAACAGATAGATTCAGTCACTCTGGATACATATCCACACACACAAAAGACTACTCTATGTGAAGAGCCGAACATAAAGAAAAGTGACCCCGAAGGTAGAAAGACAGAGATGATGAGTGAGAAAATCCTACAGGAACATTAAAAAAAAGAAGAATGGCAGCGTGACAAGTATAGGATGTGTGAGTGCTTGCTCATCTCCTCACTGGCCTGATTTGTTGTGGTTGTGAGTCACTGACAATTTTGAGCCATCAAAGCATGAAACACTTTCTCACTACAATAAACCCTTTTGCAAGCTTCCCAAGCTTGTATATAAAGAAGAAAACACCTGTAGTAATGTGAGGCATCAAAGGAGCACAGCAGGTGAAAGTGTGCATCACTTGTGGTTTAAAAATCACCCAATGATGCAGGATATTCCTGGGTCTTTCCGCTAGTCACTCTCCTACATTACATTTCAAATATGATTTCACTAGAAAACAAGCTAAATTAACACTAGTGGGTGAACTGACTGTAAAATCATACAATACATAACACAGTAATAAAGGAAAAAGTCAGGTTAAACATTTGGGCATCATGAATGCTGTCCAAAACTTTGTGCCAGTCCATTTTGTAGATATTTTACAAGATCTGTAAACAAAAACATTGCTGGTAGCACTATGGGTGCGTGATTACCTATATATCATCTACAGCAATATTTTAATTGCTGTTTAAATGATGTGTGAACTGACATTATCTCACTTTACAAAAACTTTTCCTTCTTCTTCTTCTTGCTTTGATTGGCAGTTGGCAAACCAATGTAAAGGTGCATTGCCGCCATCTTGCTGAACTGGAGTTTGGAGCAGTAACTTTACAAAAGCAATCAAAACCATGCTTTAAGAGTCTACACATTCACTGCTTCATGAAGCCAAGTAGGACAGACTACTGCACATGCAATTCATCTAGAATAACAGGAAAGTGTTACTAATGTTTCACTAAAAGCCAAAAATGTCAACCAGCTGGTAGTACTACATAAACTCAAAGGACCATCAAAGTAAGTGTGATTCATCCTGTGGGGAGGATGAATATCTGTACAAAGCTTCATGACAATCCATCAAATCGTCGTTGACATATTTCAGTCCAAATGGCAGACCAACTGAGCCACAAACAGACATTGCCATTCCTGGAGCCATTTCACTAGCATGGTTGAAAAGCATAAAAAAGAAAGAACAAATTCTCAGTTTCTCCAACTGCCTGCCACCTGGAACACAGTGCTGCTGCTGAAGACATAATATGAAAGAAAGAATGAACAAACCCAAAATACCTGTAACACAACAGCTCTGTCACTGGCTCTTGCACTTTAGTGAGATGTCTGCACTAAAAAGGGGATGACAAAAGGTGAATGTCAAAACGAATATGAGAACGGCAAAAAAAAAAAAAAAAAAAACTGCTTGCAAGGCAACTTAAAAGAAATGAAAGATTCATTTGGACCATTTCACTCCATGTTAGACTCGGTTTTTTACATCTTTGAGGGCTTGAATGAAAGCAATCAATGCACAGTCGCAGCACAAATAGAGCCGAGATGTACAATAGCCCTGCAGTCAACTGTAAAAGGAGCTCTGGCAGCTACTCACAGTTGATGATGATGAGTTATGATTAGTCAATTAATCAATTTTTCCCCTGACAAAAAGCATTTAACTACCATTTGGACTACTAATTAATCTGTTAAGTCATTTATCTTAAACAAGACTAAGCTCAGCAGGCCTTTGACCTCAGTGTCAGTGTTTACAAGCTTACAGTGACAATGCTCACTTGCTAATGTTTAGCAGGTACAATGCTAACCATCTTATTTTTGAAAAAAGTGCAAGGGGGGACTGAATACTCTTAATACGCACTGTATGACTGAAGCAAATACCTGGAACTACACGTTAACACAAATACAGTGAGGATGCGTAATTTGTCTCCTTCAGTTTCTGTGTGTGCTAAAATGAAAAGTGTAAGATCAAATTTATTCTCACTGGCAGCGTGGATTACTCACACCCACACAAAAGCTGTCTGGGACACCAGCGAAGGGGGCAGTGCTCAACAACACAAAGAAAGCACACATAGTGCAGACAAGCCATAATCTGACTGGTGTCATCTTGACCCAGGGCGAAAAACACATCCAAATATAGTTTCAAATCAAGTTTGGAGAGGCATCTGCAGGGGCTACAGGAAACAGCATGTCTAGTAAACCTGAAACGATTAGTCAACTGACAAAAAAAATTAATCAGCACAATCATGATCATAACATTTTCTAGCTGCTGCTTCTCTAGTACGAGTTTATCCAGTTTAATATCCTTGTAAAGTTGTTTCCAACTGTTGACTGATCAAAACAAGACATCTAAAAGACATTGCAATGGCCCAGAAATTTTTAAGTGTAAACAAACAAACAGAATAATGAAATCAAAAAAATAATGAATTGTTGCAACCCCACTAAATACAGTTGTTACACACACTGAGCCATCCATCACTACTGGGCCATCATGGAGCATCTTTAAGAAATCGCCATCATTTAGCATCACCCATAGTTTTGCTGTCACTCATCTGTAGCCATTCACCCGACAAATCATCTTCCACAAGCAAAGCTAGACTTTGCGTGGAAGTGGCAACATATTACCATAAACCTAACTTTATATTCCAAGCACATGAGACCTTTTAAGCAAACTGACAGTGGCATATTTATGGTATTGTAGCTTGTTTTTTTGTTTGTCACATCTAATAAAACCACAGCAGACTATCAACTAGTTTTTCCCTCTTGTGCAGACACCTAAGATTTATGCATATTTCCTGTCAGCTGGCTGTCAGAAGCAGTCAAAAGAACCGAGCTATAGTGATTCAACACAAAGCGTTTGATTCTTGTTCTAAAAGCTGGTGCAGCTGTTAAATTTATTTCAGGTCAGGATCCGATTTACTAGTGTGCATGTACTGTAAATGTACCCACTGACTTCATGCACAACATACACCGATCAGCCATAACATCATGATCACTGACAGGTGAAGTGAACAGCATTAGCCCAATGCTCACTGATGATGAAGTTGACCTACTGTAGATGAAACTTTTAAATTTCATTAATCCTTTTCAAAAGATTCCATTTTGTTAGATCTTTATTAAAATGGTTGAAAATGATAAACACTGTACATTGGTCTCTATGAAGAGAAACATTCAGCAGCTATAGTGGTGATGTCACACCTACAGTGGGGAGGCTACTGAATTTGTCTAAAACATTCTCTCCAACTTGTCCTCATGACCACTGTAACACAGGTTTTTCACTGAATGGTCGACACATCTGCACTCTTCCTGACAGTAGAACTATGGAAGCAAACGGATTCACAGAAGATGCACAGTGAGCTGCAGAGTGACATGAGTGCCAACCGACCAACACACTGAGTACTGTGGACACAGTATTAGGCAGGTGGTCATAATGTTATGGCGGATAGGTGTCAATACATGCATTTTCACTAGCAGTGAAAGAGGCACAGCCAAACACACTTAAGTGTGGCGTATAAATAGTGCTACAGACAACTGTACACACACATTTCTACCTGCTTATAACTTCAAGGGGGAAGAGAGTAATCAGAATTAAAGACCTTCAGAAGGCCTCTGCTAATCCTAACATTTAGCAGCTGTAATGCCTGAAGGGCACATAGTGTGACGTTTTTTTTTTAATTGAGAGGAGGGCCAAGAGGGAAAAGCACACAGGGGACACATCTACTGACTGACACCCACCTGACTTGCTACAATGGGTGCCCGAGCAGACTGTATGCCCACCAATAAACTCACTGTTAACATACAAACTGGAAATCATTATCACATTGTAATAAAATAATAAAAACAACAACTGTGTTCAGATGTAGGGTAAAAAACACCACAAGCCTTGGTGGTGTTTTTTTTTATGACAGTCAAGAGTGATGGACCTTAACACATCAGTCTAAAATCTCCCAAATCAGGTGAATACAAAAGGTCAGAACATCTGATGTTAACACTCATGAAACCATTCCATGAAACTGTGTGTGGAAGCTATCTGCACTTATGTTTCTCCACTAACTCAGCTTTTTCCATCCAGTCAACATGACTAGACTGCACCCTTCTGGTAAAAAGATAAATTGCAACTCTTCAAACTTGGTCATTTCTCAATAAGCAGGGCATTGTGTTTAATCTCAGGAATTTTACATGGCATCGCTTTTGTAAGCCCAGTGTTTGCTTAATGCCACAGTCAGATGAAACAGAACTACATCATCAGTGAAAAGCACAAGCAACATCACCAAGCTGTGCCAAGAGAGTCAGGGTAAATAAAAGAAAAACAGAGTCTGTGATAAGGCAAAATCTTGGCTTAGACCAGTGAGAATGCACTAGAAGAAGAATACAGTACAGACACAGCACTCACTCCAATTATAAGGACTAAATGGTACATCACACCCATTATTTGCCCCCTAAAAAAGGGCATAAAAGATGGCCAACTCTTCCTGAAATCTTTA